AAATCCAATATAGTCTTGGCACCTTCATTCGTCGTTCTAAATCCATGGCCACCATGAATGCTTTTAAAATCATCTACCTCTCTACCAACATGTCCATTTAAAACTCATATCCAAAACTATATGAGGAGCATAAACACTTATAATATTAACACTCTTATCATCAACAACAATCTTTAAAGCTATAATTCTATCTTCAATCCTATTAATTTTTATAACATTATCCTTTATACTCTTATCTATAATAACACCTACACCAAAATTTAGTTTCATGAATGCACAAAATATTTAACTTCATATGAATCATAATATCTATTAATTTCATTAATTTTACTGTAAGGGAACCTATATTTCAACTTCTTATCCTAATTTTAGTTTTATGGACTAGCTTCTTTGCCTACATTCGTCTTTGATGTGGGAACCTTTACCTATTTAACACTGCACCCGGGCGCCGATGCAATGTCTCTTGCGCACTTGTCACTGTATTCAGGCCATATAGTGCGTCGCTTCCAGGGGACGCCCTAGCATTAACATAATTTCTAAAGGATTCATGTCATTATTGTTCGATAAGTTTTACGCTGGCTGTCGACTACCTAACGCAACACTCCACTTTTCTCATCCAGGACTTGGGACCTGGCAACGACAGTGTTATACAGCATTTATTAGGCTAAAGACATTAATTATTTTAAACCTTCAAATTTATAATAATTATTTAAAAATTTATAATAGTTATTCTAGCTTGCTCGTGAGTCGAGCCTCATCAAGCTCGAACTCTAGCTCAGTTAGCAAACGAGCTCGAGTTTAAGCTCGAGCTCAAGTTCATGGCTCGATAAACTCAACTTGCGACATCGTTCGAGTAAAATTCGAACTAACTCAGCTCACTTACACCCCCACTTTTACACTATTCAAATCTTTTAACCTTGTAAAAACCATGCTCTTTTTATTATTTATAACATGACAACCCATCATTGCATGTTGGCTTTTGCTATAGCTTTAAGAGTGCTTAGATATGATTAGTTGGACTTAGTTTACATCCCTGCAGAGATTATTAGACTAATTTATCTAGGGATTATTTAATTGATAGTTTAAATTGTTGTTTAATAATAAAAAATTCACATAAATTAAAATTTGAATTTCAAATAATAAATAAGAATCCTCAAACACAACCAACAAATTTATAAATCTGCCAATATAATTTAACATATAAATTAGATATGAAAATTTTAAATAACACAGAATAAATCATTCTAAAGGCAGAATTCATAAAATTAAACACAACACTAATAAAAAATCTAATTAAAATAAAATATCAGAACTTAAACAAATTCAATTTAATAATATGCAGTCAAATTCAAACCAAATTGCATTAAATAAGAATACTATACATACACTTGAATTAGCATAACTAAACTTAAATTAAAATAATGAGACAAATAAAATTTAAAACTAAATTAATATAAAACCAATTCAAGTCAAAGGAAAGTAAATAACTGTTGAGTCCTGGGATATTCGTGACAATAGAGAAGTATAAAGCTTAATTTCGTAGCATTGTACGAAGATTCATCACACAATCAAATAAGAGAGATGGTGTCGTTTTCATAAGAGACACCAAGATTTTTAAGTGGAAAATCATGAAAAGAGAAAATATCATAGGGCCTGGCCCAGTTTGAATGTATCCACTATTATTTACAGTATATTACAAATGTGGCCCTTTAATAGAGGGAAGGCCTTGGCTTAATGTAACAAATATGCATCATATAGAATTCATTATATGGTAGAAATTGAAAGAATGAGTATTGAAATATATGTTTGGTCTGTAGGACCATAGTCGGCGAGCTATGGAGGTCAGAAAGATCATATTAGGATGTCGGTGGTCGGAAGGACCATAGTCGACAAACGATAGTGGTCATAAAGATTGTATTAGGATGCCGATGATCAAAAAGATCGTAGTCGGGCGATAGAGGCCAGAAGGCCCGTAATCGACAAAGGAGGCTTAAAGGCCCATAGTCTACAGGCGACAGAGATCGGATAGACCATTGTTAGCAGAAGATAGATGTCGATAAGACTGTTGTCTGGTGATGAAGGTCAGAAGGCCCGTGATCCATGAAGGAGGTTGAAAGGACTGTAGTCGATAGACGATAGTGGTCAGAAGTTTGGTGATGGGCGGAAGTTCAACATCATGAAGAAGTTTAACGATAGATTGAAGTCCAACGTTAGATAGAAGTCTAAGGACAGGCAGAAGTCTGGTGACGTGCAGAAGTCTGGCGTTTGGTAGAAATCTGGCGCGACGGAAGTTCGGCATTAGGTAGAAGTCCGACGATGAGAAGAAGTCAGTCGATAGGAAGAAGTCCGGTGACTGGCAGAAGTTCGATGTCAAGTAGAAGTGTGACGAAAGTCCGGCGAGGAGAAAACGTATGGCGATGGGTAGAAGTTTGGCGTCAGGCAGAAGTCCAATGACGGACAAAAGTCTGGCGTCGGGTAGAAATTTAGCAACGGCCGGAAGTCCAGGGATGGGTGGAAATTCAGTGTCGAGTAGAAATTAGGCGATGGACCAAAGTCTGGCGTCAGTTGGTAGCCGGGAAGAAAACCTGCTTTAGTCGGTGGCCAGGCAGAAATTTGATGTCAGTTGGTGGCTGGGCTGAAGTCTGCCAGTGAACGAGGATGAGTCTGGTGGCAAGATAACTCTTTGATTTCTCTTCCTCTCCTCTCTTCTTTCCCTCCTTGCTTAGGGGCCCCTTACATAAGAAATGAGGGGTCTATTTATAGTTTTCTGAGAGTGGCATGACCAGTAAATATAAGAAAGATCGAGGGTAAATTGGGAGTAGTTTGAATGGATGTTCGATGTTGATTTCCTTGATTATGGACAGTTTATTAGACATTTGAATGTCTTAATGACATCGAAATTTAGTGATCTTGGGCTAATTGGATTTGCCTCATCGAGCCGCTCGATTCGACTAGAAGCATGTCACATTTGGAAGTTTAATGTTGTTAAAAACTTTCAAATGAGTTTTAGATCTTTGATTTGGCTCCATTTGGACTCCAATTGAGTTGAAATTGGCGTTGTTGAGTTCATATTTCCGAGACGTTCAGTTTAACCATAAGTTTGCTGAAATTGGAGTTCTGCTGGTCTCAGATTTAATTTTTAAAATTTCCAAATTGATTTTGCTTTGAGTTTCGTGCCCGATCAAGATAGTTTTTTGAAGATGATGATGATAATAAATATATATATAATCACATCCTAATTCTAGTTGTTAAAAAAGTAAAGTATATGTAAAATTAATATTAAGAATAAAATATCAATGATAGAAGAGAGAAAACACAAAGAAGAGAATAGAAAGACAACTGAATAATTTATAACTTAGACATTATAAAGTTCATTAAAAATTAAATAAAGTTAGAAAAATATGTAATAAAGTTCTATAAACTCTTAAAATAATAACAAACAATAATCTAGATTCAATGAAACATATTTAAAACAAGAATACAATTTTCTTTCATAAATTCATTTAACTTTTAAATAAAAAAATTTCAAAATACTAAAACTTGAATTGTAATCACCCTTGGATATTAAACAAAATTATAATTAAAAAAATTGAACTTAAAACCTTATAGATTGGCACCTGCATAACATGTCGCGTACACTTAGAATTCTTTGTTAGAGCATCTCCAATCGAAAATCTCATTTTTCACTCCAAAATGCCGTGATTCATCTCCAATCGAGCTCCATTTTTCACCCATTTGCAAGTAACGGGCACCTTTTCTTTCCCGTCGCAAGTTCGGTAGAGAGGTACAAATGGTGGAGATGAAAAGTGCAACGCCAATATTGGCGTCCCACTGTTCACCCGTAGCCAAATAGCGAAAATTTTGAGGTTCGGCTGGAGCTGGCCAGAGACGCCATTCAAGTGTTTGGAGTTCGGTTGGAGATGCCCTTAGGATACCAATTCTAGCTTTAGGTTAGGGTGTTATAAATCTTTTTACCTTTATGAAATCTAAGTTTCTCATAATCTAGTGTCTCATACTTTTCTCATTTGACTCGCTAATAACTGTTCAACATTGAACTTTTTCCTTGAAAATTTTCTATTTATTTTCTTTTCTTCTTCATTGTAAATCAAAGGTATGAAATTATTACTTTCATCAAGAGTTATCTTAGGAGCACCATTCTTAAGATGTAATTAACCATATGGGCTTGCCCTTATGAAGAATTTAGATATCCATATTAAAGTAAACCATATCTTATTTTGATAAAAGGGGAGAAAAATATATGAGAATAAAAATATTCTTCTCAAACTTATTTCTATTTTCAAATATCTTATAGAATGTCGTGATCGTTACTCAAGATGATACGATATTCTCCTTGTTATATTTAATTTTAGAAATGATGAATTTTTTAAATATATTCTTACTTTTAGATCTCTTATAGAATATTATGTTTATCTCTTGAGATAATATAATATTCTCTTTGGTGCATCTGATTATAGGAATGGTTGAATTTTTAAAACTCATTTCTCTCTTTAAACATTTTCTATAGGATTTCATACTCATCTTTAGAGATGACATGTTATTCTTTGAATTGTGCTTGATTAAAAAAATGATAATTTTTAAAATCCTATTTTAACATTAAAATTATTATAGAATATCGTGGCACGTTATTCTTAATGCATTATTCAATTTTAAGATAGGAGAAAATTGAATCTGCATGGCATTTATTTTCCCCATAATCATGATTCAAATAAAGTTTGAATATGGCTCATGCATATATTTTAATAATATTGGGTTTTTTTATCATCCAATTTTTTTTTGAAGACTTTTACTATAATTTCCTTTTTCCTATAATTAATATATGGGTTAGTCACTAAAAAAAAGCCATTACGAGAGTCATAAAATGTATGTTCGGAAATATTTAGGCTAATTAAAGTAAACTCAGGTGTATTTCACCTACCTAAAATTTAGGTATTTGGTAGGTTAGCTGCGTCATTTTCTACGTCATTTATTCTTCTCAAGGTTGCAACCTTTTTCCCTCAGGAATAACAACTATCGTCCTTTCCCTCCTTTTTCCTTGCCTGGGTTGTCCGGGAACGGTGACTGGTGCTCGAATGGAGATTCCATTGCCGGATTCGTTTTCTATCGGTCGTAGCTCCGGTGGCTGGTCGCGTTTCTCCAGCCTCCGGGGAGTACGGTGGAGGTTTTATCTCGGTATATTGCCCTCCTCACCGTCGGTTTCAATTGATGATCTACGTCGCGTTACTGCGGATGCTCGGAGGAGGTGAGATACGGCAACGCTGATCCCTCGTTTTGATTTGCTTTTCTTATAATGCTTTGATTGCATTGTTCTGGGCGGAAATTCCTTCTTGTTTATAAGACGGGATCTGATTTTTGGCTATTTTATTCAATGGGTTTGATTTGGGTTTTTGAGAGATTCTTTTTTAGTGAAATTCTAATCTGGTTTTGTATGAATTTGGGTTCTTTGTTTGTTTTTAAGAGTGGATAATAAGGGAATGGCATCCTTTTAATTACATCTGTCATTCTCTTTGATGCGCTGAATATTCTTTCGATTTTGAGAGCTTGATTTTGGGGTAGTTTTTAGGCATTAGCATCCATTATCTGGCTGAACTTGTTAATGACTACGAAGTCTTATCTTTAAAAAAAAAAAATGCACTGCAGATAACTTGACGGGTTCTGGATCGATTGTAGCATTGCGCAAATCACCTTAGTTGGTTTTTTTTGTGAATTCGAGGTCTTTCCTCTGACTTTTTTTTTGTGCCTTCTCTTCACAACTTGCTGGGATAGGAGAAATTATTATAGATTTATGCTCATGTTATTGTTATGGCCATTCTTCCTTTCATGGTGCGATTGTTTTGTGGGTATTTAACTTGATTGGTCTATGATCACTTTGAACTTCTCTTTAGAAACTGTTGTAGAAGGAGTTTGGATTCTTTTCTAAATCTCTCAAGCTCTATGGATTTATGTTGGGGCTGTTTGGTTCATTCTCATTGAAAATGTCATTTACAATGTACTTTTGCCTAGGTGTCATTGCAATATATTAATTGTAATTCATTTGGTTCGTCTTCGTTATTAATGTTATAATTCTATCTGTAAGGATGTACTGATTGCTGCCATCCATTTTTTCTCTACATTTTATTGATAAATGTGGTTACTATCTAGATCTTGGCCAATTATAGCATAATTCTTGAGTATAACATTTAGTAAAAATATTGCCACTTTTGATGTCAGTGCAACAAGTAAGTGACCGCTTTAAACAACATCAAATGACATGAAGATGTTGTTGAACCAAACAAGCTCTTCCATTCAAACACAGAAAGAATATACTTCACATTACTGCTCTTTGATGAATGATTATATTATATTTTGATATGCAACTAGCTTTTTATTTCCTGAAGATAACACTACCGGTGATATGCCCTCTTGAAGCTGCAAAAAGGGGGTTTTGAAACTAAGCTGTATTATAAATGGTTTTTCTTGTCTATGTTTAATTCTTGCTCTTGCTAACATCTATCTGCACTCACTAAAAGGTATTGTATAGTGCTATCATTGGGCACATAAAACTTTCTCCTTCTTTCTCCACTGAAAATGTTGGAATTAACTACTCATGAAACTTGTATGAATTATGAAATTGTGACTGTATATGGATTACTATATTTATAAATTATGGGCTGGCCTATGGTTGTTGTTAGGTTGTCTCCCTTATGATCTCTAGGATACAGGACCAACCCACAGAAATAGCCTCTCTACATGCGCAGAGATTTATGCATTTGGTACACCTTTCTCTTAGATTTTACATAAATTGTATTTAGCTTTCTTGAATGTTGTATTAATTACCTTTATATAGGTAATTATTTGTTGGTGACTGAGAAACTCTGGCTCATGAATTTCGTTTTTGAATTATTTGTGAGGAAGTTACTATAGATGCACCGAATAGTTGAATAAAACCCATCATGTATGATTTGTCTGAACATTGATTTGATTCTATAAACAGGAAACTGATTTCTTTGACATGTCTTCTACTGCTTTTCCAGTTACGCAAGCCTTAGGCGTCGTCTCTTAATAGATCCACACATCCCAAAGGATGGGAATAAATCTCCTGATCTGTCAATGGACAATCCTTTATCTCAAAACCCAGGTATGTTTCTTTATATGGACGTGATTGGAACTTTCGGTGCTTCATCCATATAATGATTACTTGTAAAATTTTATTTTATTTTGCATATTAATGAATTGTCTGAGGTCTCAAACAGTCTCCTACTTTCAGCCCCCTATAGCATTTTTGTAGACTAAGGGAATTCCAGCCGGATGGCTTACAAAATTTACATTGGGGATTACTTTTTTATGATTCATAGTTTGTTTTGTATTTATTTATTAACTATATAAAATGATGGAACTGTTGATTATTGAGCTTCTGGAATCTGAGCTGACTTGATTTCTCTCAGTTTATGTTTTCTATGATGAGTGTTATTAACCAACTCATAATGTACTGTAATATAATATTCTGAGAGTGAATAATCTTAAATTTTATTTAAATAACTGGAGTACTTAGGCTCTATGATCTTTGGGAATGCATTATTCTTTTCTTACAAAAATGTAGTCTTCCTGTACCTTTGAACTTATGAATTTGAGACTTTTATTCTCAATAACTAATAAACGACATGTTTTTTTATACAGTGCAATATACTTCTTAATCATGTTAATTGAATCTTGTTTGTAGAGAGCACGTGGGGGCGCTTCTTTCGCAATGCAGAGTTGGAGAAAATGCTTGAACAGGACTTATCAAGGCTATATCCAGAAGATGATCATTACTTCCAGACGCTTGCATGCCAGACCATGCTTAGAAGAATTTTATTAGTATGGTGTCTTAGGCATCCAGAGTGTGGATATAGGCAGGGTAAGCTACAACTAAGGTTAATCTGTGGTCCTGTGTTTCTGCCATTCTCCTTGTATCTCCAATTAGAGCAAGTTCACTACAATGGCTAATAAATTTTCATGTATTCTATTCTAGATGTAATGTTAAATGTAACCAGATTATTTTTATGGTGCAGGAATGCATGAATTATTAGCTCCTCTTGTGTATGTATTGCATGTTGATCTTAATTACCTTTCTCAAGTTCGGGGACTTTATGAGGACCACTTTAATGAAGAATTTGATGGAGCAGATTGTGAAGTTTCCTCCAACACCTTAATGAAGGCTAAAAGTTGGGACGTAGGCGCCAATGCTGATGATTTCAATCAAATTAAAGTGCCAAATATTACAAGCTTTGATGATCTTGATCGTGACATCAGGGATGTACTCTTATTAAGTGATTCTTATGGAGCTGAAGGAGAACTGGGCATAGTTTTATCCGAAAAATTCATGGAACATGATGCTTACTGTATGTTTGATGGTTTAATGAGCGGTGCTCGTGGGGTGGTTGCAATAACCGAATTTTTCTGTTCTCGCCCCTCCATGGGATCAAGCACAGGCCTTCCTCCAATCATTGAGGCCTCATCTGCACTTTATCACTTGCTTTCCATTGTTGACTCATCCCTTCATTGTCACCTAATCGAGCTTGGAGTTGAACCTCAGTATTTTGCACTCCGATGGCTGCGTGTTCTATTTGGACGTGAGTTTTCCCTTAGTGATCTTTTGGTTATTTGGGACGAACTGTTTTCGGCTCTTAATTGTTCATGCACAGAGAATGATGAGTATAGATTCAGGATTCTGTGCTCACCACGAGGAGCCTTTATTTCAGCCATGGCGGTCGCCATGCTACAGCATGTGAGATCTTCCTTGTTAGCCTCCGAGAACGCAACGTCCTGCCTTAAGAGAATATTGAACTTCCCAAGGAATATAAGTGTGGAAAAGCTTATAAAGAAGGCCAGATTTTGCCAAGTTCTGGCATTGGAGACAAATATGTCAGTCTCATCAAAGGCAGGTTTGACCAAGATTAGTTCATTAGCAGTAAGAACTGGTTCACCGACTTCCAAGTCACCAATTCAAATAATGCCTGACAGCTATTGGGAAGAAAAATGGAAAGTGCTCCAAAAAACGCCTCAAAACAGTGATTCAGTCAATGCTGGACAGATCAAAGGATTGTTAGGGGAGACATTAGAATCATTGAGGACAGAATCATTTACTTCCCCAGCAAAGACTGTCAACATGGAAAAGGATGCTCATTCTTTGGATAAGCGTTGTCTATTTTTTGATGATTTGTCTCAAATTGCAGAGTCTTTAGATGATGTGGTTCAACGCATTCCCTTTTGTGATGATTCACCCTCTTTGGAGGAAGATGTCAAGAAGTGTTTATCTGAGGAGCCAGGATATGAGAGTAGCGTAAGGACATCTGAGTGCATGGGTGAAGAAAGCTTAAGCACGGGAAATTCCTCAGTGTTTTCAATGAATACTAATACAAACAGTGAGTCAAATGACCCTGAAATTGAGTCAGAGAAGAGTGGTGTCGTTTCAGTTTTCTTTAGTAGGGAGAATGAAGATGGAAATAATCTTGTAAAGGAGGAATGCAGTAATGCTTCTTATAACCCCATACCTAAAGAGGCAGAAGCAAATGCTGATGTTGCTAAATCTGGGCCAAGTGTGAATGTGGAAGTTAAAGGTGTATCAGGGAAGGTGAGAAAAACAGCAGCAGGCAAGTTTCAGTGGTTTTGGAGAATTGGTAAAGTAAGTTTCAATGAAAAGAGCATGGACAAAGGAGCAGTTGCAGAGACACTGAGATCATCGAATATTGGAAAAGAAAGTGTTTGCCAGGAACATCCCACAATTTCAGCTTCTGCTTACAGCAATTGTGCCGATAGTGCAAGGGCAGAAGTTGGAGACATGAAAACATTGGGCACTCTAAAGATTCTTGCGCAATCCATGATTGAGAATATTCAGGTAATAAATGCTTTTTTGGTCATTTTTTCTAAGTATACTTATTTCTGAGCCTGATATATTTAATATTTTCTAAAGCCGAGAAACACAGCCGGTCATTAAGCATTTAGATTTTGTACTTCGCTCAGTTTTTAATTTTAATTGTTGTCAATTTTGTTTCATCTATTTTCCTAATATATAGCAAACTTATCTCTGGTATGTCAAAGTACCGTCTTCGGAGTCTAAGCAGATATATTTTTTTAATTTATTTCCCCTCTTAATGACAATATATTAACCTTAACCAAGTCAAGCTGACCTTCCAGATATCTTTGGAACAACAACATCAAACATTCTAAAATTCTTCATCAATCCAATTTTTATTTTTTTTCCTTCTATATAAAGCCTATATTCAAGTCATTCAGTATATATATACAAGAGTTAGGTGTGTCCATAAATTAGGTGTTTTGACCAAGTTTTTTCCTATTTCAATTGAATTACATCAATGATTAACTTAAAGCTCTGATGTTTTTGCTTTAGTCATGTATGCTCTTAATAAACATTTGCAAGAGGTTGTGCCTAGTGTATATTTTTGTTGATGATATGCTTCTTTTTGATAATACTAGAGATGGAGAAGAAGAAAAACTTTAATTATGGAGGTCAACCTTAAGAGTGTAAAGGTTTTCATTTGAGTAGGTCTAAAACTAAATACATGGAGTGTAATTTTAGTAGTAATATAACTAGTGGTGGGATTATGATTTTGGGTGATCAAATTATTTAAAAAAATGCATATTTTAGATATCTGAGGTCTATTGTTCAAAGCGATGAAAGAGATGGAATGTTATTAGTAGAATTCAAGTTGGATGGTTAAAGAGGAGGAATGCATCGGATTTGTTGCGTGATAGAAAAGTATCACTCAAACTTGAGGGAGAATTTTATAAGATGGTGTTGAAAGCTACAATACTTTATGGCGCAAAATGTTCTTCATTAAAAGAAAAGCATAAAATTAAGTGTTGCAGAGATGAGGATGCTCAGATGAATAAGTGACTTTACACTTAGAGACATAATGCGAAATGAGTAAATACGTGAAAAGGTTAGAGTAGCTCCAGTGAAAGATAAGATTAAATAAAGTTACCTTAGATGCTTTGTTCACATAGAGCGTCGGATTTTGGATGACATGGTTAGGGGAGTAGATGTATTAGATCCGACCTATGTTAAAAAAGGTAGAGGTAGACCTAAAAAAACTTGGTTAAAAAGTATTAGAAATGATCTTTGTTTATTAGATTTAAATGATTATTTGACTCTTAGTAGGACATAATGAAAAAAAAAATGATTCATGTAACAGACTTCATAATAGGATGAAGGCTTCATATTGTTATTGCTACATTATTTATTTTGTTCTCTTTCATTATATTCTAAAAAAGGTGTACCCTGTGCATTGTGCTGTTTATCCTTGGTTCATTATACAGTCTTACCCATCCACGTATAAGACTAGCTAGATTTGTGATCACGCCTAGGAATTTTAACCAGATTTCATCATATTCTGTTTACGCTTTTCTTCATTTGAAATGAATAAAATAAATTGTTCATTTGACCATAGCTTCATATCAAAGGCTGCATCACCTTTTTTGGAAGATTTGATGACATATAATTACTGATTTGTTTAGGTGATTGAGACGGTGTTCCAACAAGAAAAAGTGCAGGCAGGCAAAATTTTTAATGGCAATGAGCAAGCTGCAGCTATTGAGGCCCTAAAGGAGCTTCGGAAAATCAGCACCATTTTATCAGAGATATGAGTACTCGCTGTATTTTTGTACCAACAGTGTGCATCATTCTTCTGTTCTGGCCTAGTATTTATATTTACTTCTGGGCCTTCCTTTTCCTTGTCAAAACAATATTATCTTGTAAATAGAGAAAGAGAGAGAGAGAGAGAGAGAGAGAGAGAGAGAGAGAGAGAGAGAGATTACATACATATATGTCTTTGGATCCAATTGTACCTGTTTGATACGTAGGGAACATGTTCCAAAGATGCCATTGACACAGAGGGCCTTGTTTGGTAATCTATACTGTACTAAAAATCCAGTAATAAAACGTGCAAGCAAACTCAAAATTTTCCAATTTCTCTACTTTCTTTTGCAATAACGAATGTCACTTTTGGATCCAATTGTACCTTTTTGATATGTAGGGAACATGTTCCAAAGATGCCATTGACACAGAGGGCCTTGTTTGGTAATCTATACTGTACTAAAAATCCAGTAATAAAACGTGCAAGCAAACTCAAAATTTTCCAATCTCTCTGCTTTCTTTTGCAATAACGAATGTCACTTGAAAGAATTGATTAAGCTTATTCTTTAGATAAAAGAACTTTTGCTTACCTTTTAACCCTTTGTGATCAAAACTTTTGTAACGCAGTGTACTGGGATCAGACTGAAAATTTTGTTTTCCAGTCCTATCTAAGCTCTCGCATTGCATACCAGTTACTGGGATCAGACTGGAGAAGTTGTTTCTCAATCAAATTTTGTGTCATCCGTAATCTCTCTCTTTGTATGATTGTGAGACATTGAATAATAAGCTTTGAGAAATATCTTTCATGTTTGCTGTCTTCACTAATGTTATATTTCCTCTTCCTGACGTTTTATGATCGATTAGTTATTTCTTCACTCATGTTTTCATGATTGTACAGTAAGAAGTAGATTTCTCATGCTATGTTCACTCAATACAATCTTTAATCAAGCTGTTCGTGTGGGGAGAATTTGAGATGATAGAGTCTGTTTGGGATAATTTTCTTACTGCTTTACTTGTTAGATTGTAATGATAATTGCTTTTTTATTGCTTATAAAAAATCTGTGCTAGAAAGTTATTTTTTGTAATAGTTTTTCAAAAATTTATTTTTTTTTCATAATATTTTTATAATTATCTTTGCAAAAAACTATCATCCCAAACAGACCCACAAAGTAAGGGATAAGGTCCCGTAGCTGAATATTCCATAGATCAGATGTTTGATGCTTAAAAGTACTTGTTGCTTATAGCTAGATGCCATTTATGTACAATGCAAGAACTAATAAAAAAGTGTGGAACTCTGCATTGGAGAGAAAGGCCAATATATGCCTTAGTTCAGTGCAGATGAAGCAATCTGTAATTGTTTGGCTGTTTCTGTGCTTGTGACTATGCATAATGAGATTAACAATGGTACCATATAGATGTTAAATATATTTTATTATTTTTGCAATTGTTATCTTCTTTTAAAATAATTTAAATCTAAATATAATGGCATCAATGTGAGCACTATTGCATAAATTTATTTATTTTTAAAAATGTGGATATCATTTTTTTTTTTAATTTATGAGAAAATTATCGGCCAAAAGGATTTTTTTTTCAAGAATATAAACATATGCAGTAATAAATGTGATAATTTTGATATTTTTCATATACAATAAGTCAATTCAAAGAAATGGATATTATTGGTAGTTATGTATTCATAATGATATTTATAAATTATTTTTTTTTGTTTGTATATTATCAATAGTTCTATATTTATCAATTTGCATAGTATTTCAATGCTTGCAAACTAACTTTAAGAAATGAAAAAAAAAAAAAAATCACCAATGTTTTAGGGTGAATGGCTCTATTTGAGTAAATTTAGCATAGGTGAATATAGGGTGGATTGTTTATGCGGTTTAAATGAACAATGAAATGAATGAATGTGTAAATTGATTTAACCCGCCAAAAACATTCAAAGAATCTATCTAATAAGATTTTTCTTATTTTAACGGAGATGTGAAAAACACTTAGATAAATATTTATATGTTTAAGCATTTGAAGCATTCAAATGAGTTTGGCATGCCTAAACACTTGGGTGATGCTTAAGTAGATATGGCATCACTAAACATAAGTATGATTTGAGTATATATATATCATCAATGTTCTGGATGATGTCAGCTAGTGATATTGATATAAAGATCTTATAATCCTTGAAGAAAGTATCACCCAATGATTAAAGGATTGCTCAACATTAACTTCAAGGAGAAGCTAGAGAAAATTATCCCAAAAGAATTTACTAGATTAGAAGATTGGGCTTATGTTTCCTTTATCAGAAAAAAGGAGAATTGCTAGAACTTGGGATGATATGTATCACCCTCTTAGGATGCCTAAATGAAGGTTGATGATTGGATTTATGCCCTTTAGATAAAGGATACCTTTTAACCACCTTTGTGGATTTAAAGCTATTATGCTAGGTCTCAAAGAAGAATAGATTGATTGTTAGGGAGGAGAATGCATGTAAGAATTTATAATGCAATAAGAGAAGAATGTAGTGATTTGACATATATATGTTTACATAACTCAAGGCTAAACAATATAATTTAAATTGACTAGGTTCTAACAAATAGATCCTATATTTATGACTTAGAGATGCTCAATAAATTTCCATCACACCCCCACTCCTAAGTTATAATTGAATTAGAGTTGTTCAATTTTAATATTTTATATAAATAATGGGTCGGGGTCAAATTTTTTTAATAAGCAGGTTATTTTGAATTTGAAAAATCATTACTATGAGCCTAATATGCATATGTCAAAAGTATGAGCAAAATGATGCACACAAGTATGCAATAAAAGAATTGAGATGATATATGAAATGTGAAAAAGAAGTATTTTGTTACATTCAATAAACTTCACCAATTCATGTTTCTATTCTACTTCCTCAAGCAGCCACACACATACAATGAAAAACATCTATTTGTCATAACGTATGAGTTATTATATTACATCTTAAATATTATATATTATGATTTACAAGGAATACAACTTCCTAATACATTATTATGTGACAAGAATAATTATAATGTAGATTATAAAGAGAGATATGTAAGTAAGATTACATATAAATGGATGTAGGGTAGCTAACATGACCAAATCATACATTGAGCGATGAGTTAGACTAAGGGACTCATTAGATTGAGACCTAAAGAGACCCCATTGAATTGAATGAATGGGTATACTCACTATGAACTAGTGAGGAATGACAAATGCCCCTTTACATGGGTCCAAACTTATATCAATTTAGAGCAAATATATGGCAATCAGTCTAAAGTGAGAAGTTGGAGGATAGGCAGCTTTGACACTGTCAGGTATGTGTGTGGACGCAAAGTGGTACTAAGTTAAAGTTAGAGGGCATGTGAAAGAGTGGGTTATAACCAATGGCGTGGCTCTAGTAAATAGATGATTATGGGTGGATATCATCATGATGAGGTTGGTGAGTGTGGGTTCCAAAATTTTGGCCCCGACCTCCCTCTCTGCTTTCCTTTTTCGGGGGAGGTTTAACGTATTTAAGTTCCGGGATAAATTTTGGGAAGAAAGATGGGTTTGTAGATAAGACGCTACCCAAATATTTCACCCTCATTTTGTGAGAACTTTATGATATGAGTTCTGATTTCCTATAGGCGCAAGCCCCTATAGTTATTTACCCCTCCCGATAACGAGAGAGAGCTTTTGGTTAAGGCTAGTCGTCGATTAGATACGCATAAATATGTGTTATATGGCATATAGTAGCAGCATGGGCTTGAAATTTGATAATTTGAAGATTTAATATTTAAAATTAGAAATTTCACCATCTTGCACTTAAAGAGGATGGTGGGGGAATGGATGATGGACTTGATTAAGATCCCATGGTTCCGTCATCCCGGACCATCGTGATCCCTGGTCTACTTAGTCAGAGGAGATCATCGACCCAACCTGACAGAAGGATCCTTGTCGATAGCCATGGGTTGCTTCGTCCAAGGATATCTTGTAGACCTGGGGTGGGTATTTGTCTAAGAAGATAAATTTGAATCCGTTTTAGCTAAAAGAGGGCTTTGTGCTTTATTGATCATATCCTATATATTAATTTATATCTCAAGGATTTGATACCATTAAAGAATGTATTGGTTATAGCCATAATAGTTATATAGTGGTGTCATTTGGCGACAAAATCACTTGGTTCAATGGGCCTCAGGTCATAAATGTTTATCCTGCAGTGCCATTTGGCAACAAATTTGTCGGTTAGAGGACACATATCATGTACTTACTAGCAGGAGATTATTTGAGAATAGATCCTAATGATATTCTCGACCAGCCATTAGCTCTATATGAGCTGAAGTGAATTTTCATATTTGTCCACCTCGGCAAAATATTGCAGAGGGTGGATGGGTTTTACTTTGATTGTTTGATGATTGAATTTTGATTTTAAATATTTGGATTTGGAATGATTTTGAAGTTTTGGGTTTTCATGTGTATTTTGGTGGAACTTAAGATATTTGAAATTAACCCCTCCGGTTGAGATCTACATTCAATATGGCCATCATCAGGATATATGGAGTCATTCATTGAATAAACCTTGTCATCCCTATCAACTTGCCGATAAGGGGTCAAATTTCGTAGGCTTTATATCTTTGTTAATGAATTTTCTTTGTTAAAGGCCTTAAATGACTTATATAAATATATAAAATAGATATTACGGTCAACATCTTAATCGTATATTTGTTTGATAATTCAAGTCATGTCAACTCCTATCTATTTATATAGAAGGATCGGGCTCGAACAACATTCATTTATTGACCCACGCAGCATCCCTAGATATCATGTGTGTACCCATAACACGCTTGTTGAGGCACATGGGGGTGTATGGTTATAGATGTCCTTTTGTGTACCTACGTGTATACAAATTATGGTGCACGTGCGAGGGTATTTTTGTGATATTTAACTAGTCTTCTACAGCGGCTTATAGAAGTTAATATTTATTGTAGTCCTTTAAAATTTTTCTTGTGAACACCACGTCGGGCGTATAATGAGTCCTACTTGCATTTATGAGTATTTTCCTCCCTACTTGCAATGGATCTGCACATTTGACTACCACTGCATGGTTGCTAATTATAAGGGTGCTACAATATTTTGATGCTTCACATGCATTAATTTATATATCCTTCATGTCTTACTTGTGGATATCAGTGTATTCATTCACAAATTAATATTAACTATATGATATTGCATTCGTTGAAGTCTTTCTACATCCATCCATAAGTGGCATGTGGTGCGCACATCTGAATTCGTAGAGGACTTATATGTATTGTAGATCTTTTGTATTTGCTCATAAATAGTCTGTTGTATGCACAACAAATTTCCTATAGCAGCTTGTGTGCATTTGCATTTGATGTAATCATTTTGCACTTTGCTTGTGGATAATGCACCATCACTCCATCTTTGAAAATGATGATTTGATCTAGCTTTCTCTTCTGAAAACTCAAATAGAAATCAACAAGCAGCTCTTGAGATGATGGAATAGCAAGTATGTTTTATGTTTGTAATTATGAGTTTAGGCCACCAAGCTTTACATTAATCTTTAACATCGCATTTTCAAACATTGATCATTAATTCCGGTAGGCACAATACAATGTGTTGACATTCACTTGAATGTATTCCGATGTATTACATTGTTGCCTCCACTGTATGCAAAATCCTTCAAGTTGCACTAATATTTTGAATGTCGAATGAGTATCCTACAATGGCTCATAGGAGCTTGTAATTGTTATAGATATTTTGCTTGTAAATGGCATCTGGTGCATATGGAAGGTCTTTTACAAGGACCCATAAGTATTTACCTTTGTTATGATCTTCTATTTTTTGCCTTCTAGCATTTTGTCTTCCTAGTGTTTGCAAGATATTTATCGTAGTTTCCCCATGTCTACTGTCATCATTTGTAGAAAGCTTAGTGCATTCACTTGCATGTTGATATTGACATTCATTTGGATACAAGATTGCCATGCTAATTATTCATGAAAGAGTTAATACATTTTCTTGTCAGTTGATGATTGTCGTTTATGGGTATATTGTTTTTCACACAAAAGACTTTCTATCATTGCTTGCAAACAATATTTTACCCAAGTGCTCATATGGATTGGATACCTATCGTACTTATGATATACCCCTTTTCATATCTTGTATGCAAGTGATTTGTCATTGACTATTAGTCGAGTTGCATTTTGTTACCAATTTCTTCAAGCATGTGTGGTTTGTGTATCTCTTGTTGTCGCCCACAAACAATGCTCTTTAATGCATCGGCTATAACAATGAAGATTCACAGTTAGATCCTCACATGTCATGTAATTCTCATTGAATCTTCTTGTTCTTTTCTTGTAAGCACATCAATGCGCTTGTTCCAGTCATCATACCTCTCCCATAAATATGAATGAGATAAAGGTCGCTAGTTAATTGCCACTGTTGACATAAGAATTTGCAATGTCCATCGGAGGATATATTTCATAGATGAGTAGAGAGTCTCGTGGCATTTCTTGCAACCAACATATTCTGTCCACACCATTTGTTTGCTTCATGTTGATTGTTATTCATAAGCAAGGAGTTTCATATCATTACTTACAATGATGCTTGTTGAAGGGGGCCTTGAATCATGGTTTGCACTTGAATTTCATATTTATCTTCAACCTTTATTAGGATAGCCTTGTGTATCTACTTGTAGTTTAGATTACACATTCTTAATAATCATTATGTCATTTGGATACTTGTTGCATATCTTTTTATTTGTTATCCATTAAAGGCATCATAGCAAGAAGTCTGATCAAGTTGTCTACAAGTCATCACTACTTATGAGCGAGTAGTGTTGCAAGTCTTCTTTTTCACCACAAGTTTCACATATTTTCTTTGGTATTTAATTTTAGATCTTCGTTATTTTTAGAAATCATGATTTCATTTTAAGTGAAATTTAGACTTGTCATCATCTTGGTTCAAGTTCAAGTCAAAGTTTTTATTCAAAGTCTTTTGAAGTCTTTAGAAATTCAAACCTCTTATAGTTTAATTGAATTCAGGATCTTTATCGTTCAAGTCAAATTTGAATTCAATTTGAGTTTAATGTGTAAGTCCATCTGCAAGTCCAATGTGCATGCACTATATCACATTTAAGTCCAAGTCCAAGCTTGAGTCCAAGTTCTGGTTCCTTTCAACCTCATTTGATTAAGTTTGATTTTATGCTCAAGTTATGTTAAAATTAAGTTCGAAAATATTTGTACAAGTCTTCTATATTTGCTCTAAATTTTGGTAGCCTCCTAGTGTCTCCCCTGTTTAGGGAAAAAACCAAGAGGCAGTCTTCCACTCCACATTACATGAGCATTTCAGTTAGATGTTGGGTGACATCGTAACAGTGTTTTCTTCAATCCCATGATGCTACATGAGCACTTAAGAGTCTTTGCCACCTAGGTTTGAGTAGAAAGGGCTCAGGTATGAGGAGGGATTTGGCTTGCGGTTTCAGCTCAGGTAAAGAGGAGGAAGTGGACTGGTATGTTGTCGGGTTTAGGAGTTCGGACTACAAAAGGAAATGATCGGATGGGGGAAAGAGATCGACATTGAACAGGAGGTTGTGAATGGTCAGCTTGGTCTAAGGAGGGAGGGAGGCACAGGCTCGGTAAGGTAAGGATCGGAGACTCTGAGTTCGGCTTCAGGTGAGGCATCGAAGGCTTCACGCAAGCGACTAGATGAAGATTATGCTTGCAATCAGGGCTTGTTCGCAACTGCTGGAAGTCAGAAGGTCGGGTCTTGTGATAAGACCTAGCTTAGTGAGGGGATTCGGCTTCAATTTATGGCGGATGGAAAGAGTCGAGCGGCTCGATCAGGTAAGAAAGGAAGAAGAGGCTTTGGGTTGAAGATCAAAAGTTATGTGGAGCTCGTGGGTTGGAGAGGAAGCGAATGGAGGTCTCTTCCTCTCCTATTTAACGAAGAGGAACATCGTCATATTGAACAACGGTCGCAGGATTTGAGCATATTTTGCGGAGAAGCGACTGGAGCGGCATCGAATCAGGTATAAGAAACTGTAGCAAGCAATGGTGGTAGTTTTCTTCTTAATCTTTTTTTTTTTTTTTAAGAGGGGTCAACAATGAGAAATGATGTTGAATGGCAATGGGGAGGCTAAGATCTTTTATTAAAACTAAGAGCATCATCTTGTGTGAGAAAACATGGCATCTCACTGTGAGATATGAAGATTTTTGTTTCTTGTGTTTACTGACTTCTCTTGATTGAGATGGTGAATTCCAAGGCAGACAATGACTAGTAAATTCAATGGATATGTAACTATGGTCAATTGCTTTATAAGGGTGCAAGCTAGCAAGTTGTACTCATCAAATCATTGGTTATTTATGTTAAGGAGATATAGTTTATTGATTAGACTAATTGACTTTGGTGACATAAAGAATGACTAGGTGCCTATCATGTAGGATTTTTAGTACATGTAAGGACCCTCTTCCAATGATTTTGAGATGCTATATGCAGGAAGTTTAGTGGTTGATTATAGGATTTTTGGCCTTCCACTTACAGGCATTAGGGATGAGGAGTAAAAAAAAGGCTACTAGGTGGATGTCCTCCATGATGGAAAAATGGGTTGGCTAGAATACATATGAGAAAAAAAATAAAATTGTTCCACACAATTAACTTTCATAAGGTTTTTTATTATAAGGCGATGGAACTCCTAAGAACCTTATTATAATAAGATCAAGAACAATAAGAGTAGGTTGTCAGTAACTTAAAGAGCTAGGGGCATAAGGGGTTCAAAACATTAGAATATGAATTATTGCCACTTCCAATATAAACTCATAGAAAAGAGAGAGCCTAGAGAATAATAGTTAACCCAAGAATATTCAAAATTATGTGCTAAATTTTGTTGAATAGATGACATCTTCAATCATCATGTTAGGAAAGGTTGCACACTAATAAACAAGGATGTGGGTCAAAGAAAAGGTTTTGGCTTTCATATTGCCCAAAGTAAGAAACAATAGGTATGTTTTTTTAATCACCATTTAATACATATGAAAGATAAATTCTTAAATATTTATAAAGTATTAAATATAATTAAAATAATCAAGAATTATATCTTTCCATAGGTACTTGATCATCAATTCCATAGAGAATTCTTTAATAGCAAATTTAGAGATCCATGGATTGTCATTTTTTTAAATTTATTTCTCAATAGAACAGTACATTCATTCGATTACCATAAGAGAGAATTGACCAGGGCAAAAGTACTAATTGCTATCCTTGAAAATCAATATTAATGGGAGCGCAATAATTTTCAAATGTAAAAATTGAAAATATAAAACTTCAACTTTTTTTGGGACAGTCTTTCCTACTGCTGCTTAAAACAACATCTTAGTATCAAAAATTTACTTTTTGTACAAAAAAATTGCTTTAAGAAGCATAAAGAAAACCGTCTGAAACGAAACATTCATTTGGAACAACTTTCTTCCTGCTTTGCTTTTCAAATTGCAATCACAATTTCTCTTTAGTGAATATTTTTTTGTTACTTCCGAAAAAATTTTATACCAATAAGCTAACTTCTATAATAACTTCAAAAAATTACTTTCTTTATACTAATATTGTTACAAAGCAATAAAAATATTATCCTAAAGTTTCAATTGAGACAATTTTTTTAAATGAACATAGCACAAAAAAAAATTTGTACTAAAAAACTGTTTTAAAAAACAATAAGAAAGTTATCCCAAAACAGACGCTAAGTCTTTTAGCGTCTTTTTCAAGAAATTTGCTATATTTTTAAAAGCAAACAAAGCAACAAAAGAAGGGAATCCAACGTTCCCATCAAATACCGTCAACAAGAGAAGATATACACAGCTGTGACTGCTGCGAATTCATTATGAATGAAAGTTTGATTGTATAATGTAAATTTCATAAAGTAATAACATTATATACTGTACATGCTACCTGTAGGCTACAACTGGATCGAAGCTTAAAATTACTTATTCAGCAAAGAGGAAGCCTACTAAAACACCTCCCTGAGGTTTTGTTTCACTTAGCCGTTTGCTTCTTTAGGGTTTAGGGTCAGGACGAGATCATTCCTCTTCATCTGATTGTGCTGATGATCCACCTTCAGACATGGACAATATCTTTGTGGAATGATGATCAGGCATTACACCTGCATAAATTGTACAAATTGCTTCATAAGTTTGTTAAATAAATGGGAAAATAATGCCAAACATGTCAATTTTTATCTCCTGACATATGTGACAAAAGTTCTCTTGGTGCATCTAACTGCCCAAATTAGGGGAGTCCTAATAATGATGTATGAAATAATACATAATGCAAGATATATAATGATGATTAGTTATTGTATTAGGTCGATAAAAATAGTTAACTAGAAGTCGGTGGTAATCTATAAATAGCTTCCATTTGAGAACACTAACAACAACAATAAAAACAACATCTTTGTCCTACTATGTATGGTCCGCTACATAAATCTTTTTTTTTTCATTGTGTTTTGTTAAAAGTCAAATTCTCGTTTAAATTTAATAAAGAAAGATCATTTCTAATATTTTCTATCCAAGTTTTTTTAGGTCTACCTCTACCTAAAAATAGCTTACATTTGAGGACATTAGAAGAAATAATAGAATTAGGTAAAGTCTCTCCCAAATCTCTACCCCCTTCTGGAGTTGTCGGCGAATTTGAATATAGTATTATTCGGAGACATCTACGAACTCAAATTTGTTAGTTATCCCTTACAATCCTTTGAGGTTGTACCAATGGTGGATTTATCCAGCAAGAGCACCATCAACCACTTTATTAATTTAATACAAAGACTAATCATATCCCATTACCCAATCAATAGACGCATCCATTTTTACACGTATCAGTTTTCAGGTATTAAACGCTAAATGTGAATGTGAAAGGATACCCGAAAGATGCTGCCACCTTCACAACGGTTACCCACAAACAAATAATTCTAAGAAGATAAAAAATATGGAAGTAAAAATGTTGGCTCATGCATCATTTCTAATGCATTAAATTTTGAATGCCCTAATTTTTGCAATGGTAAGAATGTTCCAGGCAATATACACGTAGACTGAAAACATCGCAAGATTGACAAGATTGTAAGCAACTATTGCGTTCATTGAACAAACCAAAATATTAAGGAAGCAAGAAGATTAAATAAGAAATCCAAGCTCACGGAAGGAAACAATAATTTCCTTTATTACAGGAGCAAAGCCCTTCAATAAGTGCAGCTCAAATAAATAGTTTTTACAAAACAAAGCAGGAAAAAACCTACAATTTTGCTGGAATACTAGTTGGGCAGACGCCTCATGGAAGGGGATTTAAATGAGGAAACTGGGTGATCAAATCATGTGCAACAATTCCAGATCAAATCATACGCTGCAGATCATGTTTCACACTAGTATCACAGGTTCTAGCTGCTTGATCCGATGTAGTTAGACGAGGGATGGAAGAAGATAGAAGTGGAGGAGCAATAGAAGCAAGGAACTGATCTCTATAGGAAAGGGAAGAAGAGTATGCAGTCATTTCTTTCATCAAAAGTCTCAATAGTCCCTAAATGATTTATAGAATATTCACATTATAGAGGTTATGTAATAAGAGTATAATGTCTCAATAGTCCCTAAAGGCATCCAAATAAAGGTGGAATGTCCAATAATTTCTTGAACAAGACAAAATTATGCTTAAAGATAAAATAAATTCAAACAGAAACAAAGACAATCTAATTGTCTAGAAACATCTTCATCAATGAAGTAGCAATTGAAGTTAATCTGCAAGTAGAATATGTAGATTAAGGTGCAAAATGTGGTGATAGTCGATTTGCATCAACTCCCTCATGGCGACAAAAAGTCAACCTTTGTGAGTGAAGGAGAGGGCACTCGTTTAAAGAGCAGAAAGATAGCATTGAAGCTCATAATACATAATCAAAGAATCATTTTGAAAGAGGGTGCCAATCAAAAATGGATGACGCAGACCTGCTGACCAAGGATCAGTCGTAATCTCATCAATAACAACTTGCTCTACTACCTAAAATACGGGTACAAAAGGAACATCGATGAATGTTAGTTGGAGAGATGTAGATACTCCCGAGGAAATGTCAACAGGAAGCAAAGAATGCTTAAAAAATGCCTCAATAAGGTAATAAACCTTCAATATTGAAAACAATACTTATATATTCATGTCTTTGTAGCAATCTAACACGTATGTATTGGGTCATAGCTCTCAAATGATGGACATGGATAAGGTCTCACATGGAGTTTCTTGCATGTGCATGATGGAAAATGCTAAGGGGACGCAAACTAAAGGCAATCACCTTATTTGAATTCTTGATTACTTAAATGTGAATTAGCTGTAGTTTTATATTATTCATTCACATTACAATTTATTTATTAAAATCAATAGGTAACTTATGATAATGAAATACAAAAGATGCAATTAGATTCAAACATGAATGCGATGTTGTAGCAGATTCATGCATATTTTACGTGAAATGTCATGAATCATCACTTCAAAGGACTTACCCGTCATTTTACTTGTAAAGTTATTGTAAAGGCCACTTGATGTGAAATTTCTGACACGGGAGAGAGCAGCAGGCCAGCGGCGCAAAGGGAAAGGGATTCGCAAGCCAGGGGCGGAAAGGGAAAGGGATTCGGCCCCCCTTGTGAGGCCCACTAAACCTATCATTGCAAATGTGAGAAGAGGAATTAAGAAAGTGATTAATTAGGAAGGATTTCCTAATTGAAATTCAAATGGGAGAGGAAAATATATTAGAAAATGAGGGCTGATTTAGGAGGGATTAATTTGGAAGGATTTCCTAATTGAAACTCAAATTAGAGAGGGAAATATATTAGGAAGAGGGGCTGATTTATGAGGGAAATAGGAAAAGCTTATTTAAGGTTAAGTTAAGGCCTTGTTTTGTTTATGTAGAATTTTATTTGAGAGTTGTTGTAGTTTTCTTTTCGTGAGAGCTTCCTAGTGGCGTCTAGATTGTTTGGGAGAGTCGATCTACCTCTCAAATTGAATATCGCTTATATTATTATTTTTTTATTGAAGTTATAATAAAAAATCAACCTCTATATTCATATTTTTGTAGCTTTTCCATTGTGTGTTTGCTATTTTTGTGTCCAAGGCATAACAAATTGGCATCAAAGAGAGGTTTTGGGAGAGATGGCAACAAAGAAGGTGGAGGCATTGGGAGGGGAATTGGCGCAAATCAAATCCGGGATGGAGGAAAAATTTTCAACAATGGAAAGGATGGAAGGTCGATTGGGAGGGATAGAAAAGATAATAAAGAAGCTCATGGAGATGCAATCCCAAGCCTCATGGGCGGTTCCAATTACTAGTCCTCACCACAATTTGACCAAGGGTCCCATGGCCAAATTGAAAGGAAAAGAGATCGAAAGGGAAGAGTTCGACGAGAAAAGCTCCTTTCATCAAGAGCCACCTCTCAGGACTCTGATAATGGGCGGAATAGAGGTTTCAAAAGGAGGGACAGCAGAAAAGTGTTCTATGGTGGAATTTATGAAGGAGGTGGTAGGCGACCGACCACTATGGAAGGCTATTTGGATAAGGGGAGTAGACAACCGGAGAGGGAGGTGGAAAAGCCGAACCATGGGGATAGGGTCATGAGAGATGGATGGAAGAAAGGTAGGATGCCCACCCTCGATACACGAGGGGGACTATCGGTGGGAGAGGAGGAAGTTGGGGTGAATAAGCGAATGTGAGGAAGTTGAATATGTCGGTGTTCGAAGAGAAGGATGCCCATGGGTGGGTATATATGGTGAAGAGGTACTTTGTGGTGAACAGGTTAAGAGAAGTGGAGAAGCTTATAGTCGCAGGGTTATGTCTGAAAGGAAAAGCTCTTGCTTGGTTTCAGTGGAGAGAGGCTAGATACCCGATCTGCTCGTTGGAGGAGTTTAAGAATTGCTTGTTGGAATGTTTCTGAGCCATTCGGGAAGGAGAGGGCGGAATTTGAAAGGAGAGGGGTTGATTATGATCGAAAGGATGCTGAATTTGAAAGAGAAGGGCCGGTATGATCTGAGGGGTGCTGAATTTGAAAAGAGAAGATGAAAATTTGACAAAAGGTTTGAGAACGAGCATAGAAGGGATGACTGAGACACTTGGGGGAATCACCCCCTTGGGTAATGAAAATTATGGAGGAGATAGGGGGAATGGAGAAGATCCAATGGTGAGGAAGCTGAAGATGGCTATTTTTTAGGGAGATGATGCACATGGGTGGATCTACAGGGTGGAAAGGTACTTTACCGTCAATAGATTGACGAAGGAGGAGAAACTGACGGCGATCGAGATGTGCTTGGAGAGGAAAGCACAGGATCGTCCCGGCTGATTAGGCTTAAATTGCACTGATCGTACATGACGATATTAATATCGTCCTAGACGATAAAGTCGGCAAGTTGCAATTAATGAGTTATTCCGAAGCTCTTCTATGTAAGAGCTCTTGTTCTACCCTTTAGAACATCTTCTGCTGTTATCTTGACCTGAGAGAGCCAAGAGGAGAGGGAGAGAGGGAGGAACTTGTGAGGGAGAGTTTGTGAGAGGATTTCACAAAGGTTGCTCCAAGCAAGGTTCCAAGTTGTCTTCTCCGATAGTCGTCATTCGTCCTTGGGGGTTCAAGGGAGGTCTTCTTCAGCAATCGATCAGCAATCGATCAAGGCTCTCTGTCTGCTTCAGGAGGAAGCAAAAAGAGTCGGGTTCTTTGCCTCGCCGGTGGAAATGAGTTTTTGTAAGGGCTTCTCCGTCTTGCTGTGGGAGCAAAAGGAGAGTCAATGTGTTTTGTGAAATACACAGAGGGCGCCTCCGAGGAGTGGACGTAGGTCGAGTTGACCGAACCACTATAAGTCTCTGTGAGCTTTTGCTACTGTTTTTCGCATTTCTTTTCCGCACTCTTTATTTTCGTTGTGGTAAACTTTGGTTTGTGATTTTGATTTAAAGAATTTTCAAAATACCAATTCACCCCAACCCCCTATTTCAAAAGCCCAATCCCCCCCAACCCCCCCCCCCCCCACCTCTTGGTTAGCTTTGGGCTAATTCATAAGGGTTTAACATCCCTAACGAACTTTCAAGGAGGTTCATATAAGATGACCAACACCTTTTTTGTATCCATGGAGCCGACACCGAATACTCTTAGTA